ACTGGGGATTAAGCCAATATCTGAACCAATGCCTCCAAAGAAGAAGACTAGAAGCAATAATATGACCTCCCAAGATGGGCCAGACCATGGTGATTTGGAATCAAGGCAAAATGCCTCTTCTAGAGAAGAAGATCGTGCAAGTGAGGGAGCTTTCACCCTCTCAGACCTTATTGCTACCATCCATGCCATGTGAGAAACTCAAAAGGAGATGGCAGACACGATCAATGAGCTGAAGAGTTCGGTCTCTAAGCCAAGCGAAGAAAATGAGAGACACCCATAGGAGGAGTCTGCTGCTGCTAGAAAGGGGTCGGAACAAAAGGGACCATCTTTTGTCACCTAAGAAGATGTCATTGCTATGCTGGAAAAAGAGCTGAGTAGAAGCAAAGAGGATTGGAAGTATATTCCTCAACCATCGTATCCATCGAGCTTGCTCCAGCAGCCATATCCTAAGGGCTATGAAACACCAAGCTTTGTCCTCTTCGATGGGAGAAAAGGAAGCCCGAAGGAGCATGTCAACCGTTTTCTTGATGCTTTGGGACCACATGCTGGCAACCATAATCTCCGGCTCCGTGAGTTCTCGAAGAGCCTTACCGATCGTGCTTATACATGGTATACGACACTAGCACTATGCTCTGTTCGTTCATGGGAAGATTTGGCGAGTAAGTTCTGCAAAAAGTATTTCCAGCATGAGGAGAGAGTTACAACCACTCAACTCAACAACACTCGCCAAAAACATGGAGAAGACCCCGTGGACTTTGTACGCAGGTTCCGGGACCTAGCCTTGGACTGCTATGACGAGAAAGATGAGGAGGCGCTGGTCGAAATTTGCATTAGCAACATCGTGGCAGATTATATAATTTATTTGGAGAATTTTGGCATCAGTCAATTCTCTCGACTGCTGGAAGCAGCAAGGAAAACGAGCATGTCAGTCAAGCTAATTGGGCAGGAAGCTTGGAGGAGTGAAGAGGAAGAAGCACACCAGACATTAGATGAAGATGAAAAATCCTCTAGTGACTACAATTCACGCAAAAGAAAAGACAAGGAGATGGCTGCTGTCATTACATGCTTTAATGACTTGCTAGACGACGACGTATCGTGCCACCCGTTGGAAAATGACCCAAGGCCATCGAAGGCTATTTGGGAGCCTTGCGGAAACACAAAGAAAGCCTACTACCATAAATATTCAAAATCCTCGAGCTATAACACCCCATGGCCACTTGCTAATGGATGGGAGAATGGTTCCAGCAGCGAAGTATTCACATTAGACATGCTGGAAAAAAGCCACTCGGGGGCTTCATTTGCTCAGCAAGATTATCAAGAGACAGTTGCCGTAACCTCTTATAACATCACAGAAGCTGAAGAAAGTACAATGGGTTATGAGCTGCAAATGACTCTTTGATTAGTTGGGTTATGAGCCGCATGCAAGTAAAGCAGCAGTTGTGGCTCTATTAAATATCTCTACAGAGCATGGCATCCTAGTACAACACATGCCAAATACATGCCAACATAAGGCACAAGCTTTCATGCTATTGCAAGTCATGCACACTCCTTGGCCCTTTCATACTTGGGGGCTTGATTTGATTGGAGTATTAATCAATGCAAAGTGGCTCGAAGCCTTACTACTGTTGAGTTGCTTTTGCACCTATCCTTTTGTTTTTGGCCTTTTCAAATTTATTTCAAAATGAACTCTTTATGTGTTTTCACCCTATGCTTTCACAACTTTTGTAAAATGCACCACCATTATAGCATGCCAAGGTGTAAGATGATACTTGCAATGAGAATGGAGTATTATGGAAAAAGAAAAAGCCTCTAGAATTCTTCCTTGCTTTTACCTTATTTTGTTTTACCAAAACATGTTATTTGAAAAAAAAAAAATAGACAAACAAACTTTTCATTAAAAAAGCTAAGCCTCTCAGCAGTAACTATACCAAGCAAAGCCACTTAGATGGGATCCCAAACTGAAACAAGCATCAAGCCTAAGCAAAACGATGTGGGGTATACAAAGTCAAGCTATTACAAAGAAACGAGCAGTAAAAGTGTATTTTGAGGCGCTGGAATAACGAAACCATTGACTCCCAATCGGAATGCTCAAAAAACTTCACGACATACGGGAGCCTTCGTGAAAATCATGCATACAATGGTCTGACCCTTTTAAGGCACGACAAAAGGGTGCATTTTAGACCAAATGAGTAAACAAGCCTTGCAAAAGTTTTAAAGAACAATGCATCGAAGATTTAGCTTAAAGGTCCTGTCAAAATTTCGGCAGCATATACCTTGTTTTTAAGGCTAGCTGACCTGTCAGAAAGATTTAAAGAAGTTCACAAGAGCAAATTCTCCCAACCAAGCAATATATATATAAGATGTACGGATTACAACATGCCTCAAGCATTCATAAATTAATGCAAGTTCCAGCAGTTCAGTAGTACATTACAAAGTCATAACGACATAGTCGTTAGATTATCTGAAAAGTACACAGCCATCGCAAAAACAAAGTTACACATGCTGAAGATTAGAACATCCTATGGTATATGGAAGCTGTGCGTCGAGCCAACTGACCCCAAGCCAAAGAAAACCTGCGAAATAAAAGGAGGCAGCACTGCTGGAAGATGCAAGGCAGTACCGTCAGCTATGCTGGATGTTCCGAGAAGAGAGGGAGTAAGAGGCAGCACTGCTGGAAGGAGTAGGGCAGTGCCGGCACCTATGTCGGATGTTCCGAGAAGAGGGGAAGTAGGAGGCAGCACTGCTGGAAGGTGTAGGACATGCCGGCAGCTATGTTCCGAGAAGAGGAGAAGTAGGAGGCAGCATTGATGGAAGGTGGAGGGCAGTGTCTGCACCTACATCAGATGTCCCAAGAACATGGGGGCTAGGGGAATCATGTTGCCAAGCGCTATTACCAAAGCCAAGGGAAACACACGCACATGCAGACAATCTTGGGAAAATTCACAGAGGAGGAATTTCTCGAGCCATAATGATACAAACTCAGCAAGACGACATGGCTCACGCCTATTGACATCCCCGAAATGCTGTATCTAGTTGCAAAACTGCAGAGAAGTTCTCGGAGCAGTCGGGGCACCCTTCCGTAAAACCTCAAGCTTCCTTTCGTCCTCCGGAGTTAGTGTGATATGGAAGGGATCCAATCTGCCTCAAATTGGGAGGTGGAAAATGTTGGCAACGTCCTCAAGTGTAGGGGTAAACTCTCCCCATAAGCAAATGAAAGTGTGTGTTTCGGTGCTCCATCGCCTGACCACATGACGGAGTGTCTTGGCTTCAATATGAATGTCACATGCCTTGGAAAACAAAATTGCATCCAGCACCCCAGTCCGGCGTAGGATGTCGCAAGTAGAAGGGTCCCCCAATTCACTGTCAACCCACTCTAATCAACCCTTGCTGATGCCGCACAGATACTGAAAAAATATGGGGACTGCTGGAAACAAACCCTTCTCTATGCAGCACCTCGATATAGACGCAGGATCAATCACTAAAAGCAGTTTCCGGCATTGGCTCTTCACCTACTGCAACATCTTCACAAGCATTCTTGAGCAATGGAAGGGGCCTTCCCCTCTTCAATTTATCATCCAGTGAATAAAGGTTGTCACTAATAATTGACGACGGGTTAGTGGATGCCATGACAGGTCTTGACAAGCGATGAATCCCTGCAAGAATTGCCAACAAAGAATATGCTGAAAAATGGCAAAGCATAAAGCTAGCTCTCTGTATTAAAGCCAAGCAATCTCCACACTAGCATGCAAGCCATATGAACTTTACACGCCAAGCAAAGCAAGCTATCTCATGCCAAGAGAAATGCTCAAACAAAAAAATATTTTCGAAGCATCATGCAATCTATTACTCAAGCTCATGATTTCCCCTTCCATGCTCAATCCATCATTCCAGCAGACCCTTTTTCACAAAGCAAGTGCTACAAAGTGAACACTATTTACCTCCTAGTAACCTTTTTCACGAAAACAAAAGAAATCCCTATGAGTTACACAGCATCCTTGCGGACCCATCATACACATGTTTATGTCTATCCCTATAAAGCCAAAAAATAAACAATTATCCATGACCAAGCTCTAAGCTCATAAAAAAGAAACCAGTAGTGCTTTCCTCAAGCTTCCAACAGTCTCTGATCTTACCTATTAATCATGTGGTTACAAGCATACACTCGTGATACATATAGTTCAACAATCAAAAAGGGGGTCAAGAACGTAGCACACGCAAAATGTACGCTAAGCATGGCAAGTCAAGCTCATGCCAAAGAAAACGCTTAAGCAAATGCCCAAGCAACATGCGATTTACCCATGGCAAGCAAAATTCTCATTGACAAGCAATTCCCATGGCAAGCAAAATTCTCTCTAAAAAATGCAAAAAATTCAAGCATTGCAAAACATGCATTCTGTCAATTTCTATTTCCCACAATATAAACGAAGGTCCAAGGTTAATCAAGCATGTGTTCACAAGAAAAGTAAGCCTAGGCCAAGCACCAGTCTATGCTTATTCCTGGAATATTCAAATTGGCAGAGTTACTTACCAAAGGATTAAAGCAGAAGCTCAAATATCCGAGTTAGAAGGCTGGAGGATTTGGAGGTTCCAGCAGCAAAAACGTCAAAGCTTCCAGCACTTGCCTTCCCCCTACCTGTGTCTGAGACGTATACACCTACATAGAAAAAGCGCATTGTGCAAGGTTCAGCCTTTTCACCAACTCAAAAGGGGCCAACACATGATAAAAAGGGGGAAGAAAAATGGAGAAAAGGAAAGGATGTGGTCCATACTAGGGATTTCTTCTTGCAATCCTTTAGCACTCTTCCAGCGGCTTGCAAAAGAAAGAAATCGAAAAGAAGAAAACTCAAAAACTGATGCGAGCCCTTCCTTGCTAGCACCCATGCTGCACTCTTCCAGCGGCTTGCAAAAGAAAGAAATCGAAAAGAAGAAAACCCAAAAATTGATGCGAGCCCTTCCTTGCTAGCACCCATGCCGTGAGTACCCTTGTTGCGACAGTGACAAAATGGGTAGAAGGAGTTTGGTGCTCGACTGCCAAAACGGAGAGCAAAATCCATGGGTGTGAAGAACCCAACAAATCCCTCAATAGATCCAAGAAAAACAAGATAAAAGAGCATACCTTGTTAATCTCCCAAAGGATAGCCTCGCGTGCACCTAGAAAGGGGGAAATCATAGATTTTTAGAAAAGAAACATGCACGAAGAAGTCTCTTCCAGCAACGGCAAATGGGTCTTCTTCGTACGGGGGAGGATGACGGAGTCGGGTTCGGCTCGAGCTCCTTTTCCAGCGGCTGGAGACGGGTGGCTTCTCTTTGATCTCACTATCTTGCTCTGAGTTCTTGGAAGAAAGAAAAGAGAAGGAAAAGAAAATGAGGAGGGGAAGTTTGGTCTGGTGTGTGAAAAGAGGCAGAGAAAGAAGAAAATAATAAATGAAAAGAATGGAGGGAGAAATTGGTACCTGGGAAACTCCGAAGAACTGCTGGAAGCCCATTATGACATGCTGTCATCTTGCACGCAGGAAGAGGAGAGGTGCCCTATAATTACAAATCTGATTTTTGGGTTGGGTTTAATTATTCGGCCCATTCCAGCATCTATCCATGGCTCTTAATTAAGGGGGCTAATGTTGAGGCCCAAAAAATCCAAGGTTGGGCCCAATTGAAATCCCAGCCCAGTATGACACTTTATTAAGGAAAGACTCGATTTGGAGCACGCAAAAGTTCGTCACACACACTCACATGGGCCACAGTCCACATGCCATGCCAAATAAATAATCTATCATGCTAAGTAAAAACCAAGATGAGCATATAAAATGTCATAGCTCTACTAGCCCATGCTAATTATCCCGTCAAGCATTATATCCCTTTTCAAAGGCAATAAAATTCAAGCACGCCAATCGACATGCCATGCCAAGCGGAAGATCATTATTTTATACCTAGCCACGCTACAAGCTTAAGTGGGCCCAAGCCACGCAAATGCCCGGGGCTTGCTGAGTGGGTTGTGGTATGGATGGTAACAAGCTTTCATAAGGCCCATTGATGAGCCGAGAAATAGAAGTTTTGGGTTTCTTGGGAGCCCAAAACTCAAGCCCATTTCTTGAGCCCAAATATGTGGGTAAGCATAAAGGAAGCCTAATACTCTAGAAAAATTAGCCCTTCACCTTAATAAAATAGCCCATCACTTTAGGAAATTAGCCCATCCCTTTAATGGGCTAACCCATTACCTTAGAGAGGCCCAAGTAACTAAGGAAAATATCTGCCATCTCTCCAGCACTTAGCTGGAAACAAAAACGATGACAAAACCAAAGCTACCCATGTGAGTGGGCTGCTGGGAGCCTCCAGCACATGGCCAAAGACAAATCCCAACACAAGCCATCCAAAAAACCAAAGGATACTTGAGCAAAACACCCTTCAGACCAGCGCCCTTACCAATTTCTTTCTCCCACCAGGTCTGGCCATAGAAGAAGGAAGGAAAGAAGGTGAGGTGATAACCAAAAATGGTGTTCACCACTAAAGGAGCTGCGGGAAAAGCCTTAGAGCTCCCAAAAACCTTGTCTTTGTGTGTTTGGACAGAAAGGGTTTCACAAAATGGGGGTGAGTCGAAGGAAGTGAAGGGAAAGGAAAAGGGAGACTTAGCAAAATGGGGGAGAAACCATTAGGGTTTCTTGGGAAATGAAGGCTTCCAGCGGCTATAAAAGGAGCCATCTTCTACCCATCAAAACCAACCCACATTTGGAGAGCAAGCTTCCTCTCTCACCTACAAAACCCTGCAATTTCGTGCCCTATTCCTCCATTTCCTCCCATTTTCGCTCCTATTAGACTGTTCCAAAGTTTGACAGAGCTCTCGTCGAGCTGCCGGAAACTGCTCAACACACCCACCTTCCTTCCTCTTTCTCTCTTTCTTCAACAAATCCTTCCAAAATACCTTCCCCCTTTCCTTAGAACCCCTGTTACTCATAGGAACTCACAACTCTCTCTCTCTTTAATGCTAAACTCATGATTGCTTTGCTCCCATGTCACAAGCCTCTCATGCCAAGCTAGAAAATTTATCTGTAATTTGTTGTTGTTTTCATTGGTGAAGGTAACCAAAGAGTTTCCTAAGGCGTCATCACCCTTTCGAGACATCTTTGGGGCTTAATCTTCGAAATCAGACACAAAGGGGACACTTGCATCAGATTGCTCTTTACAGCAGCCCAGCCCACTTGCTGCCGGAAGAAAAAAGCCCCCACAGGTGTACGACGCCCGTATGAGGTATGGTGCCTACCAGACGGTTGCATTCGAATGAGATACGGTGGTGCATGTTGGATGGTGTACAACGCTGCTGAATAGTGTACCGCTCTGCTGGATGGTGTACCACACTGTAGGATACCGCTGCTGGATGGACGCTGCTGGATGATGTGTTTACGTTGTACAGAGATAGGCTTGGCATGAGAGTTTGCTTTGATGTGTCAACATATTGGGCTTGGCATGAGAGGCTTGTGGTGTGGGAGCTAAGAATCCATAAGTTTAGAAAGAAAGAGTGATTCACTTGAGAAATGGATGATTATGGCAGTGTATTATGGAACATTTGGGAAAGGGGTTGAGTTTGATACTTCCAACAACTTGCGGATGGGCTTGCTATTGATGTTGCTGGGTTCTTGGTAAGGCTTTGGATGTTGTTTAAGGCTTGAGGTGGTATTATGACAGAAAATGAGCATGGAGAGGTTAAGGCTTGGGTTTTATTTCCTGTGTTGTTTACAATAGCTAGAGTATGGATGTTGTTTATGGGTTTGGAATGGCTAAAGCTTGGGTGTTTCCAGCTATGGATCATCTTTCTTTCTTGTCATCCCCTTTTATAGGCCTTCGGAGTTCACTTCTTTATGCATGTGTACTGCTCCGACATTGAGGTGGTCTGGCATGCTCCACCGGCTTCAAGGTGGTCGTTTCCTTTTGGTCGTTTGCCTCTCAGCTAAGATGACATGACTTCTTCATTTTATGTAGGTGCCAGGTAGTTGGTTTCTACGAGAAAAGATAAGGTTTTGGTGCCATATGGGAGAGGTGCTGGACATATGGGTAGGTGTTGGGTGTTGGTGACAAATTTCTCTCTATGCTTACCTATTCAGCTGTCTCAAGAAAATGTGCTTGGGTTTTGGGATCCCAAGCAGCCCAAAACCTGCATTCTTTTGAACCTTTAATGGGCGTCATGGATCCTTGTAACCATCTACACTGAAAATATTTGCTCCCACACTTACCTATTCAGCAGTCTCAAGAAAATGTGCTTGGGTTTTGGGATCCCAAGCAGCCCAAAACCTGCATTCTTTTGAACCTTTAATGGGCGTCATGGATCCTTGTAACCATCTACACCACAACCCACTCAGCAAGCCCCAGGCATGTATGTGGCTTGGCCCACAACCCACTCAGCAAGCCCCAGGCATAGAAAAAATCAGAAATTGCACCGAAATTGATTTAAATAGGATCGACCGGTTTCATAAAAAATTTCACCAAAATCGGATCGAACCACACTAGTTAAATAGTACAAGTTTCGGTTTCGGTGTGAGGTGGAAACTGGACCAGACCGCGCCCACCCCTAATTGAAACCTTTCTCGCCCTGCTCAACTTCTACCTTGACCTCTTCTAGAAACCCTCTCTTCATCACCTCAGTCAATTCTTCAACTCCAACAACCGTAATCCCTTTTCCAAACAAACCAAACCTAACTCTCCATTCAAAACATGATCGGGAGTTGCTTGGCATCGCATGTTATCGCGTGCTTGTGCTTGGGCTTGGGCTATGTTGTATTACAGTGGCTTAGGCTTTGTGTTAGATAATGCTTGATAGTGCAGTGGGCTAGGTTGGCTTGGGCTTGTGAAACTTTGTAATTCTTACAAGTTAGCATGTGAAAGTGGTAAACTCGTACCACCCCCTCCCCACGTGCCAAATTGTAGCATTGCTTGGCATGGCATGTATGTATCAGCTAGGCAGTTTTTATAGCATGATAGTGTATTGGGCTTTAAAATATGCATGGGCTTTTCTTGAGATTTTTTTGGCCTTAACAATGGGACACTTTCATTCATTGACTGAGGTTTGGTGACCCTTTTTGCCCCCTGTCATAAACTCCACCCAATACTCTGTCAAATTTGAAGACATGACAGAGGTGTTTTTGTAATTTCATACACATGGATCATTACACAATTGAGTGAGTGATGTGGCAAGTGGAGCCACATGCACATATATTAAAAAAATTTACTTAAAATTAAAAAAAAACTTTTAAAAAAAATTCAAAAACCCTTAACTTCCTCCATCTTCCCCTTCCCATTCTCAAGCCCGAAAATTAATATCGACCTCCAACTTCCTTTTATTCTTCACTACAATTGTCCCCAAAACTTCCTGAATCAAAACTTAGCGACGATCCACTAAAACTGGAGGTGGGCATCGAGATTGGAAAACCGGAACACCGAGCCACACCAGATGAAAAAAAAGGGAAAAAATCATGTTGACTAAAAAGTCAACAAACCAACACTAAACCGGATTGACCTAGTTCAAATTGGTTCCGATGTCGGTTTCACACCTTACAAACTGGACTAGACTGGCTGCGTATTATTTTATTTTTTTTATAAAAATTATCTAAGTCCAATCCTAAATTTCTAATCCTAGAACTAATATTTCCCTAAGCCCAACTTCAAAGCACTTTTCTTTTCTAGGCCTAATCATCTCTATTTGCATGGAATTGGATCATTTGTGAATTTTAAGCCTAAAAAATAATATTTTTTCTGGAATTTGTTAAAAATAATAATTTGAAAAATATATAAAAAAAAAATCTAGTCCGAAATAGAAAAAATCGGAAATCGCACCGAAATTGATTTAAATAGGATCAACCGGTTTCATAAAAAA